GAGGGCTGCCTGGGGTTCAAGGCTGCCCCCCCCCCCCAGTGCCCAGGCCTGGCCAAGCCCCTGGGCTCCTCTCCAGGCTGCAGTTCCCCCGCAGGGCGGCAGGTGGCGCCAGCCCTGGCTGCGTGGGTGGGCTGAGCCGCTGGAGCAGGCCGCGTGGGGGTGGGGACAGGGACAGCCCCTCACCCACACCCAAGCTGGGGGCCGCTCAGTTGTCGCCGGCCTGTCTCTCATCCCCTCCAGAGCTGCCTGGCCAGCTGTGCCCTGAGCAGCTTAAGCCGATCTAAATTTGCCACCAGCCTGACCTGGGGACAGCCCCCGGTGGGGACCTGGGCTCTTGGAGCTGGATCATCTAGATTCAGAGAGAGGGAGATGCTGGCCGTCACTTAGCTGCCCCACAGCTGGGGCGTCCTGCGAATGTGTCACACAGGAGCCCAGGGGCCTCGCCCTTCACCCCTGGGCACCCCAGGGAGGCCGGGGCCACCCCTTGGTGGAGTTGGTGACCATGGTCTGGGCCCCTGAGGCCGGAGAAGCAGGAAAACCAGCCCAAAACCGCAGCAGTGTCTCTTTTTTTATTTTTATTTATTTTTTCACGATTTATTATTATTATAGAAGCTCTCCCAGGCATATGGTGGAATGTTCTGGAAGCTCTCCCAGGCATATGGTGGAATGTTCTGGAAGCTCTCTCACAGGCAGATGGGTGGAATGTTCTGGAAGCTCTGCAGTGTGTTGGTTCCTGGAATGGTGCTTGTGTATCTTTGCGCTAAAAGGACCTGTCACTTTCAGTTTCTCAGTGGAGTGAATATCAATCGCTGTGACCCCCACAGGCCATTTTGGTGTCCTCAGTAAAGAGCAGGAAGAGATGCTGACAGCAAAAGGCTTGAGAGCCGCTGGTCTCTGTTTAAAGAAGGAGCCAGGCGTGGAGGTGCCGGCCTGTCACCCCAGCGGCTCAGGAGGCTGAGGCAGGAGGATCAAAAGTTGGAGGCCAGCCTCAGCAAGTGAGTGAGGCCCTAAGCCACTCAGGGAGGCCCTGTCTGAAAATACAGTGTAACAAGGGCTGGGGACAGGGCTCAGGGGTGAAGCACCCCTGGGTTCCACCCCTGGCACCCCAAAAAGAAAAGAACAGGAAAACTCAGCCAGTGTGTTTGAGCCTCTTTTAGAGAGTCCTCCGCATGGTCAGTCCCCAGGGGAAATGGACCTCGTGACCAGATTTCAGGGACTCTGTCCCTGTCCCTGAGAGGCCAGTGGTCACTAACAGAAGCCAAGGAGTAGAGATGGGCCCCCGATGGCAAGCAACATGTCACCAGGTGGCTACTAAAGCAAGAGAGAATGTTCTCCAGGAAGGTGGCTGCTGTCTCGGAACTGTCCTGGAGGGGCCTCTCCTGGGGACGGGGTCAGGTTGCACTAGGGTGGCTTCCGTCACCTCGCTGTCTATCATCAGTCAGTGCCTGTCCCTTGTCGGTGGCTCCTGCACAGGTCCACAGAACCTGGGAGCCAGGGCCAGACCCTTGTGGGAAAGAAGAGGAACCTGTTGGCCAGGAGGCCCCCAAGCTGCGTTGGCCTTGGCCGCGTGGGGCGTGGGGCAAAGCCCCCTTAGCTAGGCCATAATCAGCTGTCGTGTGTGCAGCCAACTGTGGTGCCTGTGATGTCACGCTTGGCTCTCCGGGGTCCCCAACCCTGATGTCTTGGCTCTTAACACAGAAATCACAGTCACTGTGGGAATTGTCTATGGACTGTGGCTGGGACCCACTCCAGGGGACGCAGGGCCCAGGGGATCCAGGAGCAGCATGTCCCGGACCCCTAGGTTCTGGCTCCCAGAGGCCGGGATGTCTGTCCCCGTGGACGGCCAAGATGGCCCTTCGGAGTGGCCTTGAGCAGGTCGGTCCTCGGGTCTGGGCCTCCGCTTCCTGATGGGCTAAGAAACAGTGTCCCCCTCAAGGCCGCTGGGAGCACAGGGCCCCTGAGGCCCTCAGTGCAGGGGCCCTGGTGGGGCAGTGGCCTCCACTTGTCCCCAAAGAGAAAAGGGGTGGCTCACGCCTGGCATTCCAGCGGCTGGGGAGGCTGAGGCAGGAGGATCGAAGGTTGGAGGCCAGCCTCAGCCACACGCCTCACCACCAGGCCCCAAGTCAAGATGGGCATCACCTCCTCCAGGAAGGCCTCCCTGCCTGGCTGCCCCCAGGCAGCAGCCTCTCCCTCTCTGCCAGCTCCTCCCTCCGTCCTGGGGATGGGCCGCCTTAGCACAGAGCAGAGACCCCAAACTGCAGCAAGCGTCTGCTCCCCAGGCTCAGGAGCCCCATTTGTGATGACTCCCACATCCATTGCTGCTGCCATGCCCAGGGCCCCACTTTTTGAGAGGCACCGATGGGGCACAGTGAGCCCAGACTTGAGCCCACATGAGGTATTTCTGGGTCCATCCCTTATGCTGTGTGTCTTAGGGCAAACGACTTACCCTCTCTGGGCTTCAGGGCCTCTGTGTCTTTGTAGAACTCTTAGGAACAAGGCTGACAGCGAGGATGAGCCAGCCCCGTAAGGACAGGGGACAGGGCCCGCACATGCAGGTGAGGTCCCTGGGCTGCCCCACGACGTGGTAGGTAGGGACAGGTGTTGGTGAGCGCTGGGGAACACGCACATCCTCAGCTCCAGGTCTGCGCACTTGATGAGCTGGGCCTCACACGCGTCCTCTACTGGCCTCTACTCTCCTGAGCGGGTTGGCCCAGGCTGGCCTTCTGTCCTCTGGGACCAGAGAAGGTGTTGTTCAAATCAATAGCGCAACAGAGACTGAGGAGGGAGGGAGCGCGTCAGCCACTTAAAAGTAGCCAGAGTCTCAGGAGCACTTAGCGGCCTCCCTTTGAAAGAGAGGCCTCCCGCACTTGGGATGGAGGAATTCATCTATTCATTAAGTCGGGGCCCCCAGGGCCTGGGCTGGCTCCCCTCTGCTGGCTGTTCTTGGCTGTGAACTCACTGTTTAAAAGTAAAGGCGGGCGCGGTGGCACACGCCTGTCACCCAGGGGTCTCTGGAGGCTGAGGCAGGAGGATCGTGAGTTCAAAGCCAGCCTCCGCAAAAGCAAAGCCCCCAGCAACTCCATGAGACCCTGTTCCCAAATTAAACACAGAGCAGGGCTGGGGATGTGGCTCGGGGGTCGAGTGCCCCTAAGTTCAATCCCCAATGCCCCCCGCCCGCCAGCAGATTCTGGGACAGTTGCTTTCTCCTGGTCAGCCCTGCTCTGGGCCAGAGTTGGTGGCCTCCACGGGGTGCACTGTGACAGCCAGCCTCAGCCTCCTGAGCCGCTGGGAGGACAGTTGTAGGCCATTGCGCCTGGCTAGTTCACTGGGTTTTTAAAGTTCAGTGACTTTTTAAAGTCCTAGGATTTGTTCCCAATAGTGTCCCCTCTTAGGGCCCTTGGAAGCCCAGGGTGCCGTGGGGGAGAGTGACACCCAGCCCTGCCTGGCAGTGACCGTGCCGCTCCTTGGTGACATGAAAGGACCCAGGGCAGGGCCAGGGGGCATGGCTTCCACGAGAGGGGACACTAAACTTGACCGCAGGTGGACAGATGGCCCAGAACCAGGCCACATAGGCCTGAGGTCAGCCACGTGAAGCTACCAGATGTCACCCTGAGAGCTCTGAGATCAGGGTGCCACAGGCCTGTCCCAGGAGACGAGGAGACCCCTGGGGCCATCAGGGCGTTAGAACCCAGGAGGATGAGGACAGAGTTAGGTTGTGGCACGAGAAATGGGCCAAAGCAAGCAACTCAGGGCTGAGACCCAGGATGGTGGCCCTAAAGGCTCTCTGACTTCTTGCATCCTGCGACCCCAGACACGAACTCCTACTCGTCCCTCAAGACCCAGCCCCAAATGCCCCCATCACTGGAGCCTTTCCCCAGAGTTCCAGGTTGTCCCCACTGACACGACACCACGCCCAGGGATGGTGGTCACACCAGTGCCTTCTCATTGGGGCCTCAGAAGGCACTGAGGGGCAAGAACAGGTGCTGGTTAGTACTTGCTCAGTTAAATGGCTAATGAGACTCAGAAAGCAAAGTGCCCAAGTGGTGGACGTGAGGTCTGTGCAGTCCAGTCCTTTGGTCAGGAAAACTGTCCAGGCGCTCCTGGACAGGGCCTCACTGCTGGCCAGATTGGGCTTGGTGGCGTGGTTCAAGCTGGGATTTAAAAAGGGACTTAAGTCAGGAGGGATCCCGGGGAAGGGCCACCCTGGGGCCAGGGGCCTACAGAGCGTGCCCCTCGCTCCCGCTGCGTGTCCTGCTTGGCAGACCAACAATACCGGGAGTTGCTGGTGGCAGGAGGGAAAGGGCCAGGCTTTGAGCAGGGCAGCCCAGTGGTCTTCTAGAACCTTCTGTGTGTAGGTCCTTTTGCCCATGTTTTGGCTCATCACCTCCTTAGAACATGGGGTGGCAGTGTGTCATCCTTTGATGTGACCTTGAGCATCTTTTCGCGCACTTACTGGCCATTTGTACGTCTTCTTGGGAGACAGGTCCACCCAGATGCTTGGCCCATTGGGTTCTTTGCTTTCTCTGCTGGAATGTAACGCAAGCCCTGGTCCGTCTCTGGCCAATCTGCCCTCCCATTCTGTCTTTAAGGATTTATTTGGTCCCAGGGATTGAACCCAGGGGTGCTTGACCCCTGAGCCCCATCCCCAGCCCTTTTTATTTTTAATTTAGAGACAGGGTCTCCCTGAGTTATTTAGGGCCTAAGTTGAGGCTGGCCTCTAAGTTGCAGTCCTCCTGCCCCAGCCTCCTGAGCTGCTGGGCTTACAGGCATTTGCCACCATGTCTGGCTTTCTTTTTATTTTTAATGTAGCAAAGAAACTATGGGAGCCCAAGGGGAGGAATGTGGCTCTGGGCAGTAAKCGGGGCTCAGCCTTGGGGCGCCAGCCTGGATCTGGGGAGGCAGGCTGGGGCAGCTTGGGTGCTGTCTTCAAATGAAAGCTTCCAAAGGGCACAAGACCGGGCCCCTTCATTAGTGGCTCCTGTGATTTCCTGATCCCRAAGATGTGACAGCTGCCTGGTCCTCCGGGAGCTGGCCTCGCGCTGGTGTTGCGACCCGGGGCAGCTGGGTCTGGTGGTGTCTGTCCACGCGCTCGCTACCCAGGTTGTCACCGCTGAGCCCGCCTTCGTGGACCCGGGGACGGGAAGTAATAGGCGATGGACAGACAGATGGGGTCGGGCAGCCCTAGAGGAGAGTGGGGCGAGGCGAGGACCCTCGAGCAGCCCAGTGAGCAGAGCCTGGTCTCCTGTCTGGGCGCCCGCCGGGGTCGCCTGTGCACAATGTCGCCAGGAGCAGCTCTGGGGTGCTGTCAGTACCCGGGGCTGCGGGGCTTCTCTGGGTGGCAGTGGGCACGGTGGGGCTGCGGGGGCTGGCCGGGCGAGGGGACGTGTTGTGAAGTTGTGCAGTTTTCCATCGGATCCTCCCCCAGGGTGACGCCGGGTGGGACCCCGCCCTCGTCCCCGGGGCGGGCGCACGACTTCCGCGAGGCCCCAGTCGGGCCTTAGGAACTGAGGCCACCGTCTGCGGAGCAGCCTCGGGTGAGCGGCCGGGTGCTTTGTATTTGTCGTGCGTCGTCGCCGGGAAGACGTGGCCACTGGGAGGTGCTGGAGCTGGAGCGGGTGCGCAGAGCGCGCCTCCCGCGCCTCCGGAGCTCACGGGACCCGAGGGCGCAGCCCCGCCCGGGATTCCCAGGGCGCCGCCCCGCCCCCGGCACCGCCCCCGCGGCCCCGCGCGGCCACGCCCCCTAGGCTCCGCCCCCACGGCGCTGCACGGCCGGGCCTGGCCCCTCTCGGCCCCGCCCCCGTATCCCCGCGCAGCCCCGCCCTCGCGGCTCTGCCTGGCCCCGCCCCGCCTCTCTCGGTCCCGCCCCCTGGTTCCGCGCTCCCCCCCCCCCCCGCCCTTCTCGGCTCAGGTCCTCTCGGCTCCGCCCCTCTAGGCCCCGCCTCCTGGCTTCGCGCCTCTCCCAGCCCCTGGGTCCCGCCCCCTGGCTCCGCGCTCCCCCCTCCCCTCTCGGCCCCGCCCCTCTCGGTCCCGCCCCCTGGCTTCGCGCGTCTCCCGCCCCTCTCGGCTCCGCCCCCGCCGCCCTCGGCCCCGCCCCCTCCGTGGCCCCGCCCCTCCCGGGCCACATTCCTCCGGCCGGGACTGTCGCTGCGCCAGGCGGGCGGCGGCGGAGGGCCGGCTCGGCTGACCTGGGATCGACACCGGGCCCGGAGCGGCGGGAGCCGGCAGGCCCTGGGCCCGGGGACGCGGCGTGGTCCYGCGGCAGGAAGCCGGGCCCTCGGGCCGAGGGTGTGAGCCTGGGAGCCGGTGGGCCGCGCTGGGCCTGGGTCCCTGCTCGGGCCGGGGCAGCGGCCGCCCGGCCGCCATGTGGTGCCTGCACTGCAGCTCGGAGAGGACGCAGTCCCTGCTGGAGCTGGAGCTGGACAGCGGGTGAGGCCGGGCGCGGGGGCGAGGGCAGGGCCTCCTGGACCGAGGCCCGGCCAGGGACCCCCGTGTTCGGGGTGTGACGAGTGGGGGGGCACTGTCTGGTGGCCAAGAGTGCCCGGAAGAGGGGACGCCCGGATGGGGCGCGAGGGTGCCCCTGCTAGAGCCGGTGTTGCAGGGTCGCCCGCTGGACCTGTTCCTGGGGGACAAGGGAGGGATCTGGGGACCTCTGTGTCGGAGTTGCCCTCGGGGACCCCGGGTGGGAGCTGCTGTGGGTGGCCGGGTGGCAGAGCCAGAGGCGGATGTGACAGAAGTTTGTGGCGGAGCGGGGGGTGGGGGGGCCGGGCTCTGTGTCTGATGGCAGCCAGGGAGGCTCCTGCGGCTGTGTCCATGGGAAACCCTGGGCTTGTCCCTGAGTTGTGTGTCCACCTCATCGGGGAGACCCTGAGCAGGTTCAAGTTGTGGGTCATGTCCCAGCTGTGCCAATCAGTGGGGGCTTGGGAGCCAGGCACCTGGCAGGGCCACCTGCGAAGGTGCGGGACCTCAGGTTTGCGTGCGTGGCTGCTGTGTGTGACTCGGTGTGGCCTGGAGGGGGCCGCTGGTCGRGGGTGTTGTTTACACACAGGGGCCAGGGGGCCTGTCATGGCCGGGGCTGGAGCTGGCATCTGATCGGCCGCCCTGTGAGCTGTGGGCGGCTGGCGGGGCCTCAGCGGCTGTCTGTGAGCAGGGGGTGTGTGCGGGGAATATTGATTTCCTCTCTCCCTCGCCGGGCAGCTGCCCCCTGAGCCGACTGCGGCCCCTCCAAGGATCAGGGGAGGGAGGCGAGGCAGCGGGTCTGCAAACAGACGTGGCTGTGTCGTGGCTGTGTGGGTCCCCGCTGGGGGAGGCCCACCTGGAGCCTTTTGATCTTTCAGTTCCAAAATTCTGCAAGTGCGCGTGCCTGGCAGTTGCATGAAGACCCTGCATGAGGTCCCCTTGGTCCCCTCCCCATCCCAAGTGCTTCAGGCTCTGTGTGGGGTTGTGCAGACAGGGGGGCGGGTCCCTGGATCCGGGGCGGGGGCCAGGCAGGCTGCAGCTGCGGGACCATCTGTCTGGCATCAGTGGCCCGGGCTGGGGCTGGGGGTCCCGATATCCTCACCCCACACGTGGCGGCCACCCTGAGCAGCCCTTCAGCTGTCGCTCTCTGTCTGCGCCTTCTCCTCCCGTTACCATCACCCTCAGGTGGCAGGGGAGCCACAGCTGGAGTCCTCRTCAGCACCAAGACTCGCGATTATGGAGTACCTACTGTATACTCAGTAGTAGCTTGCACCAGGCACCAGGGACCCAGCAGGAGGCTCCTTGTCTTTGTTCTGTGCAGCCCSGGTCCAGGGAGAGCAGGCGACCGACCGCCACTGGGAAGCCACTTGTCCTGGCTGGACTCCTTCACGCCTCCTTCTGCCCCTCCGTGAGGACTTCCCCAGGATCCGCAGGCCACCTAGCGTGTCATTGAAACCGCCTCTTGTGTGGGTTCCTCAGTCCCACRTTCCTTCTCAGAAGTCCCTTGGTCCCTGCTCTAAGCCCTTCCAGCTGCAGGGAGTTGGGGGCCTTCTGAGTCTGCGCTGCACATGAGCCGTCGCTCCCCGATGGCAGGGGCCAGGCCAGGTGTCCTGGGGCTGGAGAACCGCCCCTTAGCCTCAGAGCAGGTGGGGCCCAGTGGCCGCAGAACATGTGGCACATCTGTTCCGAAGGAAGCCCGGGGTGGCTGGACAGCGCCCTGGACCTCTGGGCTGTTGGGGCTGAGTTGTGCTCCTAGAGCCTTCCAGAGGCCCTTTGCCACCACCCAGGGTGCTCCCAGCTGGCCATCGCCGCCTCTCCAAACCCAGAAGGGACCCTCCAGTCTCCAGTGATCCGAGGAGAGCCCAGTCTGTAGTGGGCCCGAGAAAAGCCAGTCCAGGCCCGGCCACGCCACCCGCACACAGCCTTGGCCATTCCGCGTGGCCCATGCAGGGCAGCAGCCTGATGCTGGGCTACACTGGACCTCGGAGCCCCGCGGCTCTGCTCCCTGGTTTCCAAACGGGCACAGCAGGGCCGGGTGCCAGGGACTCCACCAGAGTGTCCCAGCTGTGCCTGAGTCKGCCTGGCTGTCGTCTGGGGGCCCCACCGGGATTTCAGCCTTCTCCAAAGCCYCGGGAGCCTGATTCTGAGCGAGCTGTGCTGATATTTACCCAGATCCAGCCCAGAGGCGCGGGCGGGCAGGCGGGCAGGCTGCAGAGTCACCTAGTGGGGGCTGGGCACTAGGTGTTTCTGKAGGGCATTGGCCAGGCCTCTGGGAGCTCCTGTCTGTGCATGCATCAAGGATTTTTTTGGTCTTGGGGGGGCCCTGGGGATTGAACCTAGGGGCTCTTCACCCCTGAGCCCCTCCCCAGCCCTATTATGCATTTTATTTAGAGACAGGGTCTCRCTGAGTTACTTAGGGCCTTGCCGTTGCTGAGGCCGGCCTCCAACTTGCGATCCTCCTGCCTCAGCCTCCCGAGCCACTGGCATGACAGGCGTGGGCCACTGTGCCAGCTGTGTGAAGTGTACTGTGGCTGGATTCTGCAGAGCGCGGGCTCCTGGTTTTACCAGGAGAATCTCTAAGTCCAGGGCACCTCAGCGATCGGGGTTGACTGTGCCGCTCGTCTGTGGGCCTCTGAGCAAGTGGGTGGCCTCGCCGGGCAGGCCAGCCCTGGGGTCCCGCGGTCAGAGGCTGTGTGTGTTTGTCCACGTCAGTGTGTCCTTCCCAGCTGTGCTGACCGGCTGTATTTTCTTCCTTCCTCTTTTGTAAGTTTCCTCTGGATTTTGATGACACATGGAATGTCCGTCCAGTGAGCTTGAGAGGCCTGGCGACCGTCGGCAGCGCCCCGTGGGCTGGGCCCCGGCTGGAGGCCTGGGGAGAGGTGGCCGCTCGCGCGTGTGGAAGGGGGAGGGCGCACAGAGGCGGGGGTGTGATTTGTCATTGGGCCACAAAAGCCAATCTSAGTGGCCTTAGAGGCCACTCCAGCTTCCGAGGAACTTACTGGTATGGCCTTGAGGACCCGCTGCTRTCCTTGTGAGAACTACGCAGAGCAGGAATCCATGACCACGCGGTGGGACTATGGCYGGGCGCCACCTAGACCCACCACTGCCCTAGCTGCCATGGCCAGACCGTCATGGGGCAGGTGCTCAGGCCCTGGGCCCGTGGCCTGTGTGCTGATGCCCACGTGGCCTGGCACCTGGCCACCCAGGAACACATGTAGGCACCCACCCGCAGTCTCCTGCGCTCCTTTATCCACACGAGGCAGTTTTTCTGAGCACCTACTTCGTGTCAGGCCCTGGGCCAGTCGAGAGACCATAGCGTGTCCTGAAACTGGCCCTCACAGAGCCYGGGTCTTGTGGGCCACTCGGAACCCTGGCTCCTTCTCTTCTCAGCTATGCAGCCTTGGCTGTTTCCTTCCCCGTCTGAGCCTCGGTTTTTCTCATCCATGAAATGGAGCCAGAAGTGACTCCCCGGGGCATGTGAGGCTTCTCCTGGTGACCTATGTGTCCAGGTGCCCAATGTCTGGTAGCTATGGTCACCACCGTCGTGATCGGCCACCTCTCTGTCCCGTGAGATGACTAGAGCTTGAACGACTCTTCACGGTTCTTATTTGCCAGTTTCTGGGGTGGGGGACGGGCCCCAAGGGCTGCCTGGCTCCTTGGCACCCTGTCCCTGTCCTCGCCCTGACCCGAGGGTCACCTGTGCGTCCTGGGCCTGTGCAGGGGCTGCTGCTCCTTGGGAGAAGGCACCGCCTTCCCATTTTATGTCCTTGCTCTGTGGCTTCTTGACGCAATGACAGTCCCTGGTGGGACCCTGCAGAGCGCTCCCTGGCTGTGTCCCCTCTTTGTGCAAAGGTCAGTGAAAAGATGACAGTAGTGACCATCCGGGCGTCTGGGAGAGTGTCCCTTGGTCCCCAGCACGGGTGGCATTGGTGGGTAGCTTTCAGCCCCTGCTCTGCACAGAACAGTGATCTGGGACCAAAGCCACTGTCCCCTGACGCCCTGAGGGATCAGTGTAGACACGACAGGTTCTGCGAGGTGAGGGGACCCAGGGCCAGGGCCTGTGACGTCAGTGAGGACCCGGGCGTGTGGGTGCTGGACACAAGCCCGCGGGAGGACAGAGGGATCCTTAAGAGGAAYAAGGAACATTCAGATTGTCCCAGATGGGAGGCCCCAGGCGCCTCTGCCCCATAAGACACTTTTTAAGCAGCTGAGGCTGGCCTCCGACTTGCGATCCTCCTGCCTCAGCCTCCTGAGTCCCTGGGATGACAGGCGTGCGCCACCACAGCGGCCTGAGTCCTGGTTTAAAGTGACAAACCAAATGGTGTTTGGCTTCCTGTTTCCGCCAGCAGGCGAGGTGGTGTGAGCGTCAGAGGCAAGAACGTGAAAAGGGTAGGTGGTGAGGCCCCGTGGAGGCTGAAGGCTGGCCCCTTCCCTTGCGAGGAGGCTGGTCCGAGCTGGCCACAATCGGCCTGCCCTCTGTCTGGCCTCCTGGGCCAGCTTCCATACCTGAGAAGAGGGCGACCTTCATAACCCCTGTGGTCATTTGCAGAAGGAGGTTAGAGGACAGAGTCCGCGGCCAGATGTCCACAGCGCTCACTCCCCCCTCGACCCCGCCTGCTTCCCAGTTGGCCTCTGATCCTGGCCTCCTGCCTTTCACCCTGGGGTAAGGGTGGTTGTGGACTTGGCCCAGGCTGACTGTGTTTATTCTTTTTTTGGTCCCAGGGATTGAACCCAGGGTCACCTGACCACGGAGCCCTGTCCCAGCCCTTTTGGTATTTTATTTAGAGACAAGGTCTCCCTGAGTTGCTCAGGGCCTGCTAAGTGGCTGAGGCTGGCCTCCACCTTGCGATCCTCCTGCCTCAGCCTCCCGAGCTGCTGGGATGCCAGGCGTGGGCCACGGAGTCCAGCAGAACACTGGGTTTTCACATGAGACCTCCCGATGTCACAGTGTCACCCACATGTTGCAGTGT